CTCTGAGAAACCAGAGGTGGCTGAGGCTGTGCCAGGGCCGGGCAGGGGGACATTGGCAGAATTCCTCCACTGAAAGCCCTGGCACAGCTGGGCTGGAGTCCCATCCCTGGAAATGCCCAATAAATGTGTGCATGTGGCACTGCGGATGTGGTTTGGTGCTGCTGCTGCTGCTGGATTTGATGATTTTAAAGGTTTTTTTCAACCTGAACAACTCTGTGAACTGTGAATTGCAGGTAAGAAGAATTTAGGAAGAATTTGAGTGGCAAACCCTGCAAAGCCTCAATGATTCCCATGTTCAGGCATGGATTGAGTTCTGCCTCTCCTGACAAAATAAAAAGGTGCAAGGGTTTGGTTTGGGGATTTTATTTTTTGGCATTTTCTTTTTGCACTTGGCTCATCAAAAGCTTTGTCATCATCTCACAAAGGAAAAAAAGGGAATTTTAGGAGGGGCAAATCTGGGAGCACAGGTTACTCAGAATATGAATATTAGAGAAAGCAAAAAAGGATCTGTGCTGGGGAAACAAAGTGTAAAGAGGGCAAAAAAGCCTCAAAAAGCAAATACAGCAAAACAGAGAAAGGAAAATAGAATAAAATAAATAGAAGATAATAATTGGGATAAAATACATAGAATATAATATGTGGGACAAAATAAATAGAATAGAATGAAGTAAATGGAATATAATGAACGAAAAAATAGAATAAATAAAGTAAATAGAATATAATGAATGCAATGCAATGAAATAAAATAAAGTAATAAAAAAGAAAGTAAAATAAAATAAAATAAAATAAGTGAAAGGATTATGAGTACAGAGACAACACAGAGGACTTCCCCTGTCCATTAAAGGGCTTCTTTGAGCCATGCAGGGATTTGCAGAGGGCAGCCCCATTCCCCTACAAGTCAGAGGCACCCATAAAGCATTTTGTTGAAATTACAGTCCCATTATTCCCTTGTTTAGGGGAAAAGGCTCCTGTGTGCCCCAGTCCAGCTGGAGATTCCCAACCCCTGCCAGCCCAGGGGGCTCAGGCTGCTCCCTGGCTTTGCTCACCATGAGTAATTCCCAATGAAGCTGCTCCAGCAGCCCTGGATGCCTCAGCCCCCCACAGAAAATCCCAGCCCAGCCCAGCAGCCTGCTCTGTGCCCTATTTTTGGGATCACACTCCCCACAAGGTGCAGCCCCTGCGGTTTTGTTGGTTTTTCCCCCAGGAAGGAGGGGCAGCAGCTGCTGACCCTCCTGTCACCAGTTGCCCCAGCACAGGTGGGGTTTATTCCCAGTTCAGGCTATTTTGGGGATGTGAAATGCTTTCCCAACAAGCTCCACCTCATGCACAGGCATTGACAGCTGCCTGGCTTTCCAGTGTCCCTTCAAATTAATTTGCATGCTTAAATACCCTCCTGTGAGCACAATAGCACCACAGGGACTGCTGCCATCAAGGTTTTAAATGTGCAGCGAGTGTGAAAGATGAACAAGTCGCAGTGTTGGATTTGAAAAGGCAATTTAAACATTAATTATTCAACAGAACCCTGTTAGGAGGCCAAGAGCCCTTCAAAATCTTCCCATTTCACCCCTCCCTACAAGACTCTGAGTGAATAAATGCCACACAAAAGAAATCATTTCAGAGAAGGTGCTTATCTCAGTATTTACCAACACTAATATTGGCCCTGCTTGAAGAGCAGGAAAAAATCCTCAGCTTGTGCAGAACATCCTTTACTGTGTTCAGTGCAGGGGAGATGTGGCTGCAAGAGCCTTTTGCTGCTTGGGTGCCTTTTTATTCCTCTCAGGCAGTACCTGTTTGGTTTTAATTAAGGTAAAAACAAGATCAGGGTGTATTGGTACTCTGAGGCAATGCCAGAGTGCTGGCAGATGAAAAATCCACACAGAGAATCCCCCAAAGCAGCAGCTCCATGTGGAGAACCAGCAGGAAAGCTGTTGTCAGGTTGGGTAGAGAATGGCACATTCCTCACCCACAGCCATGGCATGGTTTGGGTGGAAGGGACCATAAAGCCACCCAGTGTCACCCCTGCCATGGCAGGGACACCTCACACTGTCCCAGGCTGCTCCAAGCCCCGTCCAACCTGGCCTTGGACACTGCCAGGGATCCATGGACAGCCCCAGCTGCTCTGGGCACCCTGTGCCAGGGCCTGCCCACCCTCATTATAAAAAAGAATCCCTTCCTTCCATCTAAAGCAAATCAAACCTGGTTCAGTTTTGATTTCCCAGCCCTTTCCCCAGTCCCAGTGCAGAGCTGGCTCTCGGCAGTGACACGAGGGACTCCAGGCAAAGCTGGCTCTGGGAGATGGGGAGAGATTTCCTCAGCTGAAAACAAGTTTGTGAGTGCAGCAGGCATCAGCCGAGTGTCTCCAGTGAGATCTCCATGGAAACACCACCCCGAGATGCTGCTGTGCTGGCAGGGCACTCCCGAAAGGCTGGCAGGGAGCAGGCAGAGGATTCCAGCCCTGGGCTGGGAAGGAGCATCCCTCTGCCCACAGAACACTCATCAGGGCTGCTCCATGGATACACATCACTACTGGTGCCATTATTGTCCATTTTGTCCTCAAAAAAACCTTCAGAGCATTTCAAACCATCGCTCTTGTACCAAAAATGAAGGAATTTCTGTATCATGATCAGCTCCTTCCACATGGTGGAAAGGCTTCTATGAAAGGAGGCACAGAAAAATGGGGAGAGTGTGCAAAGGAACTCAGAGGTGGAAAAACAACACAAATATAAACATTAGGTAACAAATATAAACCATAACTACAATGAGGAACAAACAACTGCCAGGGTTCAATCTGAGAAATCTTGAGAGAAATACAAATGGAGTGGAAGGGAGTAGGTTTAGATTGGATATTAGGAGAAAATCCTTCCCTGGGAGGGTGGGCAGGCCCTGGCACAGGGTGCCCAGAGCAGCTGGGGCTGCCCCTGGATTTCTGGAAGTTTCTAAGGCCAGGCTGGGCAGGGTTTGGAGCAGCCTGGGACAGTGGAAGGTAGCCCTACCATGGCAGGGGTGAAACTGGACGGGCTGCAAGATCTCTTCCAATCCAAATTCAATCCCATTATTCTGTGAAATATTTTGTGTATAAATCAAAGACAGCCCAAATTCTCCTCCTTTCCCTTTCCCCAGGGCAGCCCAGGTGGGCTGGGGCTCCTCCCCAGGGCAGGTACAAAGAGAAACTGTGAACAGAGCTGCAATTTTACACCACAGAATCCACCAAAGCTTGGTTTAATCCAATTTCCACCCTGGAATGTCACCTTGACAACCTGTATGGGTGAGCAGAGGATGTCCTGGACCCATCCCTCCTGTGCCAGGCACTCCAGGACCCCTGGAATCTCAAGGATTCCTGCTCAGGTCAAAGAAAGTG